TGAGCAAAAATAATTTACTGTACACCCTGCTGTTGTTTATCCTGTAGTTGTTCCAGAGGGAGGTACTTCGAAAACAAAGCAGAGAAGTAGATTTCAAAGAATATCAAATTATTGAAAAATAATCAGTAGACAGTCAAGAGGACTACACTAAAGGAGGAAAACATTTTGGAAAGGAATTATGCTAGAGAAAGTAATCGCAAAACAGACAGTCTAGAGAAGCAGCCAGTCTTTTCTCTCCCACTAGAGAGGAACATTCTGTGTTGTATATGCATCCATAGCTTTACAGTGAATCTTGACACATAAGTTGAATGATTAATTTAGGTGTCACTTGTTATGTAGCAACACTTTATAACAGGGCCCAATTATAACTTTGTATGTGGCAAAGGCAGCATTTTCAAGTTAAAGCATACACACTCTGATCAGTCCAGTTTAGAAATTGGCATTCCTACTTCCTTCTTCTATGACCTTCTGCAGAGTTACTTAATCTTTATGTTCATCAGAATCCTCATATCTGCAATGCAGATAATAGTGTTGTCTTACAGAGTTGTTTGGAGAATTAAATGAGTTGGTATATAAAAATCACCTGCCTATAAGTCAGACACTTAAAACAGTGCCTGTAAATGATCAATACATGTTAAGTCAGATTTTCTGTAATATAAGCAAACTTTTCTGTCTTTCCTTTTTTTGGAGAATTGAAATTGATAATCTTTCAGTGCTTCTCAAGAAGGTGTTCCTTTGTATAAATACATGCTGAAAAACCAAAAGCTTCAGTAACTATTCTAGGGGAACAAAGAAACTATCTGGCCTTACTGAAAGACAAAAAACACTATACATATATTATACTGAGCTGTTGTGTTTGTCAAATCTTTGTCAATTTCTCTTTATTCATAAACCTCCTTCTTCCCACTGAAAGATGAATTAAAAAGTCATTTCAGTGCCATTTTGAAATCATCCTAGTATAGACACGTACCTTATTTATTAATATGCCACCTACTCTCAGGAAAATCTTCCTTTGATAGATGGGTATTTGCAAGTTTCATTATCTTTCATATTTCACTTAAAGTTGCTTCATTTTTCTTCTTTTGTAGCACTTTGTTTAAATTTGCTAAAGTTTAATACTTTACTTTGGTTTAAGCTTTATTCTTTCCTTGCCACAAGATGTGGAATTTGAAAAAAAAAAAATAGAAAGTACCAAATAATAATCCTCTCTTAATAGCTAACATTTATTGAGCATTCACTATGCACTAGGTCCCAATGCTTTATAGATAGATAGATATTCATTTAAATCTCACATCTATGAGAGAATATAATTATTATTCCTGTTTTAGAAATGCAGAGGTAGATGATGAGAGAGAGTAATGAATTATTTCAGGGCTCTCTCAAATGATAAAAACTTTAGGAAATATAAGATAAGAAAGAGTGGTATAATTTATTTTAAAAAATTGGCTTATGCAACTGGGGGAGCTGACAAATCTGAAAGGTATAGGTCAGGCCAGCAGACAGACAGAACTTCTTCTTCCTTAAGGAAACAACAATTTTGTTCTTAGGACCTTTGAACTTATTCGATGAGGCCTACCCAGGTTATTGAAGTAATATTCTTTTCTTAAAATCAAGTGATTATAGATATTAACTACATCTATTAAATGCCTTCACAGTTATACCTAGATTAGTGTTTGGTTGATAATTTGACAGGCATACTTAGCTAGGTACACATAAAACTAGCATAGAAACTTACAGAAAATCACAATCAGAAATATGGGAGAGGACGAACTCACATCAAAGTCTGATGACAAAATCCTGTTCCTAATCACCCAACAGCCATCGTGGTTAGCAGAGGATTGGGGTACTTCTGCCAGGTGTGCTGGACTGCCTAAGAGTCTGTGAGAAGAGGTTCAGATACAGGGTCCTATTGGATCACCTGCCACCCAGGTGGGAGAGAAGGGCTCCATGGACCTTGGAAATCTGAAAGTGTGCATGAACTGGGATGTGGCTACATAGGCTGCAGAGCTGTCTAGTTCCTGGCTCATTTTTCCTCTCCTCAAGCCATATCTATAGGTCAGGATATGTGACTGGTGCCCTCCTGAATATTTACAGGGAGAATCTGAGCTAGTAAATGTTAAATTCATTGCGGTGATAAATGCAGAGTGGGATGAAAACACAGGAAACACAGTCTTCTTTGTCAGTGTCTGATTCAAGGGAAAAAGGGAAATATAAATTTTACCGAAGCTTTTTTCTCATGAAATAATTCTCGAGGAGGGAAAAAAAGTCATCATCTCTGTGGGTCAGCTAGTGCACTTAATAAGAATGCCTTGCACTTCCTTATATAACAGTTATTTTAGCAATGGGTCTATAGAAATTAAGCACAGATGTAAATCTCCATTTTGCCTCAGTCTTAGCAAATAGTGAAAAAGATCAGATTAGGAATTAGTAAAGGAATGATCTTAGACTTTGTTACCAGAAACTGTGGATTTCTTATCCACCACTTACATTCTCTGTGCTTTGTTTTTGATCTGCCTTAAACATTTTTCCTTATCATATGACCTTGAAATCGCAAAACACTTCACATTATTTTCCTTGTTGTTTATTGTTTTTTAACAGGAAAATGAGAAAATGAGTATCATAGAACATACACAATCTCTATGGTATAGTAATATAAAAGGGGTGACAGGTTGTTATTTAAATATATATATGTATATTTATATATATGTATATAAAATGATTTATGTTCCTTTGACTAATCAAATGTAGCTCAGACTACAATCATCTTAAAAACTTTTGAGAAAAATTATTTTGTCATTAAGATCTTCAAGTACTTAGTCACCACTTATTTATGTAACTGTATCCACCCCCATCTCAGTCTTTCTAAAATAATTACATTAATAACCACACATTTATGTAATAGTTGCCATGTTACAAATAGACTAAAGTATATTCATCAATGTCAGCAAATGAAGAAATGAACTTATCCTCCTTTCATTTTTTTTTTCATTTATTTTTATTAGTTGGAGGCTAATTACAATAGTATAGTGGTTTTTGCCGTACATTGACATGAATCAGCCATGGATTTACATGTGTTCCCCATCCTGAACCCCCCTTTCATTTATAGAGAAGTAAGACAAAGGCAAGTCAAATATTTGTCTAACTTTCTTAAATAATTAAAATAACTTAAAATAATGCTTTTAGAATAATCTAAATACAAAAGGCAAATGTTTTCGGGGAGTAAAGGGAGGAGGTGATGGACAGGGAAGAAAAATGTTTGATTTAATTTGAAGGGACAGGAGTGGTTTATTGCTGGCTACAAACTCAATCCACAAGGCCCTTTCAGTTTTCAGGTAAAACACCTATCTACCTTATCTCACACAACAAAACTCATCCCTTGCGCCATGCTTTTTGCTCGTTGTGTCCACCAGCAGGTACCATTGCCCTTCACTTAACTATGAAGTAAACTCCTGATTCTCTGGAATGGCTTACTGGTCGACGGAATTTTAGATCGTAAATAACATTAAACTTAAATTTCCTCCATATGGAATTGAGATGAAAAGCTTTTGTAGTGGAGTGAAAGCTCTCAGATTTGTTTCAATTTTAGTTTGAAAACATTTTAGCTGCCTATTCATATTCTTTTCAAACTGTTGGCAATTATTTCCTAATTAGCTGATACATGAATATTACAGACCATTTGGCAAATAAGAAAAAAAAAATGGAATATCCTTAATCCCACTACCAGAAATGATCACTATTCAGATTGTATTGTTTATATATATATGTATATATTTTTTTACAAAACTTGAATATACAATGCTTTGTGTCCTGCTGGTTTATTTAAAATTGTATTTTTACTGCAATCTGTTACCACATTTTTCAAATGTTTGTTTTAATGACTGCATTTTGTTCTATTATCTTTTTCTTTTCTTAAACTAAAACTGTAGTATTCATTCTGTGGCATTTTTGTATCTTTCTATCCTTTATTTGTCTCTCTCGTTTTTGTTTTCTTTTTTTTTTTTTGCAATGACATTTTTGTACATTAAACCTTTATTTGCATGTCTTAGTGTTTTCTTATGATATAGATTCAAAACATTTTTTAGAAGTTGAGCACCAGTTTCTACTAAATTTCTACCAAAGGAGCATAACGAATCCCATTTTTAACCTTGCCATATGGTGTAGTTTTCTTTTTTTTTTAATTTTTTTAATTTTTTCTTTTTGGTGTAGTTTTCTTAAATCCTTTACTTTTTAATAGAAGAGAAATCATATCTTATTGCTTTAACTGGCCGTTCTTATATTACCTAAAGGGTTTAAGATTTTTGGTGCTTATAAGCTGTATTTTTGTTATCCCATTTTTATTATCATTTGTTTATTCTTCTATTGAGAATTAATGTTTCTTATTAGAATTGAGAAATGTCTTTATATAGAACAGACATTTTATTTGTCAAAATAGCCTTCTAGTTAATCATTCACTACTTAATTTGTGTATATTTTGAAATGTAGAAGTAGCTGAATTTTTGTCGTAAAACTCTTTTTTCCTTTGAAGTCTTTTAGTCTTTTTTCCCCTTATAATTAGCTTCCATATTCAGGAACTAGATAAATACAAATCCATATTTTCATTTAGTTTTTGTGATGAATTTTTTATATTTTGCACTTTAATACCCAGAAATAATATTTTTATTTATGATATGAGGAAAGAATATAACCTGATTTCCCTCTTAACACTATATGTGTGTATCCATGTTTTTGTATATGTGTACATAAATGTGTGATTTATGATGTATGCTTTACATATATATCAAAAGTACAAGTTATTTATCAAGTACAAAAATTATATATCAAAAGTACACTCTGAGGTCTGTTACAATGTGTTCTGTACACTTTTATATTAATTTGCTTATAATTTTTTTCTTTCAGAACCACATCATTTTAATGACTGTAGCTTTCTACTTTCTTTCTAATAGTTGGTAAGAAAAATCACTCCTCCTGCTAATGATATTTTATAAATTTGTATTACTTAGGTTTGCCAGAACCCAAAAAGGATCACATCTTCCAAGGCCTGACCCAGGACCAGGGGTTTTACACTTCCAAAGACTTTCTGCCTCTTGTAGCCAAAAGCAGTAAAGCAGGTATCCCCAGTTGTCTTCTGTTCCTAATGTTGCCTATGTTGTTGTATGTATTATACAATTATCTTAAATCCAGGCTCAGTAGGAAAATTTCCAGGTCTCCTGTTCATCTTTTCATAATAGCAAGGTAAAATTTAAAAAAAAAATCTGATATAATTGTTAGCCATAATCACATATTTGTCCATCCTCCTTATCGAACATTATCATGAGGATTTTTTCACTGTATACAGTATATTTTTCACTATATACAGGTCTAAATTGCATTATGAAAAGTTGCTTCAAAATAAGAGTGTCTTAACAAACATCAGAAGGTGTTCTTAAAAGAAGAAACTTAACTTCACTTTGGGAACTATTTTTTGTTTGTTTGTTTTAAAATAGGGCAAGTGATCGTGTCTTCTTTGTATCCACACAAGCAGAAAGATTCAGTCCTTCAGTCCCTTCTTGAACCAGTTTTATGAATTTAAAGTAAAACATTAAAAAAAAATAAAGTAAAACATTGTGATGAATACCCTAATACCTAGTCTCTGTGTAATATCACTTCACATACCACAAGAAGACCAACCAGAAACTATGCTTGTCTTCTGCTGTGACTGGCTAGAGTCATCATCTTAGTGAGAAAGAAACTACAGGGCATTCTCTAAAAGCCAATAGCCAAACTCCTTAAATATATACTTTTAAAGAATTCTGAACTTAAGCTGTTCTAACATATAATTACCTACTGAAAAAATAAGAACTTATATTTATTCTCCTAAAATTGAGAGATGTAAGAAACTGCCTCTCTTAGATCAATCTGCAGAATTTTACAGCTAAAGTTGTGTACTATCTTCATCTTTTTTTCCCAAGAGAACATGATGCTTGCTTGGGAAGCAAGACTATCATAGTACACATAGTACGTATTTGAGAGTTACAGAGGACTAATTATGTAACCCCAAACAAAAACTTTCAAGCAAAATGATAACACTAAGTTATATGTGGTACCATTTCAAAAATTATAGTAATTTATCTTGTCAGCAATTTTATTTAATCCAATAATACAATGCTACCTATTATATAGCAAACACCTGCTTTTACTTTTTTAAAGAATCTTCATGTGGACATCAAATCTTTATATAAATGCTGTTGAAAAATGCTCACTTGGAGATTAATATTTTTTAATTGTTCAATTTTACAAACAATACCAGGGAAAAGCAAAAAAATTAAAAAAACAAAAGGGATAAAGTTTTGTTTTAACTATTTGAAGGAAATAATTCTTAGAAATTCTTTAGTTACATAAAAGGAACATACTAAGCATGTTAATTTTCAAAATTTACCAAATATACAGCAGGATACACATTAGAAATAAAATGTTGTAATGAAATACTGCAGATTATTAACTCAGATCACAAGGATCACTCTTTCCCTTCTAACAAACAACTTAATGACAGTAAGTTAAAAATACACATCACAACTTTGACAAAGAGAGTTTTGATTGGTTGATTCCAGCTTCTTAAGACCCAAGCTCTTCAAAATGTGTTATAGATATCCTTCTAGAAAGAAAAGAAAAAAAACAGAAGTGAAAGGTATTGACTATGAAATTACATATATGAGCATATTTTTAAAGTGGGAATAAAACTGTCTTTCAATGAAGCAGAATAATTTGATCGTGACACTCCATCCTGGAAAACTGCAAGATGCAATTTTACACTGCTTTGAGTACAAGTATCTTTTGAGCTGTCATGCAGAAATGGTTCTCTACTTGAAAATGGGGTTTTCCTTTCATCATTCAGGAATGTGCGCCTGTCACTCTCCATTGCTGTCGATACGGGGAGCCGTGATTGTACTCGGAGCTGGAGACACGGCTTTCGACTGTGCAACATCCGCTTTACGTTGTGGAGCCCGCCGAGTGTTCATCGTCTTCAGAAAAGGCTTTGTTAATATAAGAGCTGTCCCTGAGGAGGTAAAAAAAAAAAAAAAAAAACGTCAGAAAATATGGAGTTGTAATGGAACAGATTTTAGAAGATATAACTGTTAATGTGCAGGTTCTTAGTTTAAATCACTAGAATGTTCTTCAGATTGTGAAATGCAAATTTTAAAATTTCTGGGTTACCCATAGTTGCTATTTTTTAGTACAGACATTCAAAGGAAAAGAAAATTATTTTATAACACTGATTTGGAGAAAATGAATTTATCTTTGTCATTTCACAAGTGTTTCTTAGTCTGTGTTAGTATCATTGAAAGATGTTGTATTTAACTAGTAACAGTGGAATGTGCTAAGTCTTCCATATCCTAACAATAGATACTCTTCCCAAAATACATGGATATTAGGAGAATGTGGTAATTAGAGACATTCGAAATTTTCTGTAAACCAAATTTACAAGCTATATATATATATATATATATATTTATATATATATAAAACGGCAAGGGGATTGGCGTTTATTTTTTAAAAGAGCTCTAATGTAAGGATTATTTAGAACTAATAATTAGTTAACTACTAAAAATGACAGATTTAAAATCATATCATTCTTACAGGTGACCAGTGACTAATCTTGATTGAGACAGCAGCTGGGTACATGTACCATAGAGTTCTCAAATTTTAATGTTAAGAAAGATAATACCTTATAAAGGATATTAGTTCTGAGAACAGGAACCAAATGTATTTATAGAGAGATAAATTACTCATTTTATACAAATCAGTATTATGAATTTGATTTGTTTTAGAATTCCTGAACATATTTGGAGTCTTTATACTAGGCAAGAATTATGACTGTAGTCAATAGGTAATTTGTCACGTGTAGGCTAACTACATTACAGATTAATCTCACTGAAATACCAGAGTCACCATTGGTTCATGACTGAGTTTAAAATGTCAACTTTATTCTCCAGGTTTTTTCTCCATCCACTCTTTTTCAGACTTTCCCCTCCGAATCCAAGGTGGAGATAGTCTTGTAATCCTAGGAGTTTTTTCTGGAGCACTATTTTAGGCATGAATTAGTGCAATGAGGGAGACCTGGGTTCGATCCCTGTGTTGGGAAGATCCGAAGAAGGGAAAGCCTACCCACTCTAGTATTCTGGCCTGGAGAATTCCAAAGGGGTCGAAAAGAGTTGGACACGACTGAGCAAAAAAGGAAAAAAAAAATAGTGCAATCTTACATTGGTACACATACAGGGAAAATAGTCATACTGGAGTAAAGTGACTTGCTTAAGAGAAGACAGGAGCTAATGTTATTCATCTTTATATCATCATGTATAGCATAGGACCTCAGCCAATAATAAGTACTTGAACAATTTTGAACTAAGTATTTTACATCTTATTTTCCTTGAAATTTGGAAGGGAAGACACCGCTGAGTGGCAGTGTCAGTTTACTTCATACTCTATATTATAGTCATCCTCCGTTGGCAAGGGTCACTAGAGATGAGTGGTGACTATTTCTTCTACATAAATAGAAAACACACACACACACAAACACAATGAGACCAGATAATTAATTCTACCTTCTGAGAGGGTAGAAGTTTTGTTTGCTTGTTTTATAATAATACAATAAACAACTTAAAGTTTATTGAGCATCCTTTGTGTATCAAGCACTGTTTTAGGCAATTGGAATATAGCAGTGAACATATCAGATAGAAAATCTTGTCCTCATGGAGCTCATACCTAGTAAGGAAAGATACTCAAGCAAGCAAGTAGATTGTCATATAAGTGTATGTTGAACAGTGGTTAATGCAATGCAGAACAAAATTTTAAACAGGACTATAAGAAGTGTGAATTTGGGGAGAGGTTATGGTGAAAGAGAAGGTGAGATTTCCATTTTAAACAGGGTGACCAAGGAAAGCCTTTCTATTACTATGACTTTGGGGCATAGAGATGAAGACATTGAGGAAATGTAGACATCTGGGAGAAAAATGTTCCAGATCAAGGCAAATGCATTCACCCTTGATTGAAGTTTCTTGGACTTCTAGAGATAGAAACAAACAAAAAAAAGTCAGTGTGACTGGAACCGAGTATAAGAGGATAATATGTGCCTATATGTGATGAGATCTTTTAAGTGTTCCAAAGGCCAGTATTTACTGAGGAAGAGGAAATCCTTGAACTGTTTTGAGCAGACAAACACCAGGATCTGAGTTAAATTTTAAAAAGATGGCTCTGTTGATAATTGACTAAGGCGGGGATTGGGTTAGATGCAGGGAGGCTATTCGGGGGCTGATTGTTAAGAGTAGGCTATTAGATGCTTCCCAGGTGGCTCAGTGGAAAAGAATCTGCCCGCAGTGCAGGATATACAGGTATGACCCCAGGGACAGGAAGATTCCCTGAAGAAGGAAATGGCAACCCACTCCATATTCTTGCCTAGGACATGCCATGGACAGAGGAGCCTGGTGGGAACATGAAGTCCATGAAGTCACAAAAGAGTCAGGCATGATTTAGTGACTAAACAACAAGGCTATTAGTTGATGTGACTGATTTATAGGAAGGAAAGGATCAAATTCCAGGCATTGCTCAGTCAGAAGGTCAAGCCTTGGTGGGATGAACTATGGTCATCAAAGTATTGGGAGGAAGCAATGGGTTGGTGGTATAGCTTGTTTTATTGCCTGCAGTAGAACTTAGTAGACTCAACCAGGTCTGGGGCTTAATTAAAATTAGAAGAACAAATGTTTGGATGTTTATTATTAGTTTACAAGAAATGAAAATATTTACATTGTCTTAAAACCCCTGGGCCGTGAGCTCTATGAGAATGATGCTTTGTCCTCATTTTTTTTTTCCCCTGCCTAGCCCAATGAATGTCACTTGAAAAATGTTCAGTAAATAATTGTAGAATGAATGTTTTCTGGAGAAACTAAGCATCCAGGGCTTCTAGCATTAAAAAGGCTAACACTTACCAAGTTAGCTTAGTTGTAACAGCAGAAGGCATTTGAAGTTTCTTTTGTGAATTCTAGGCAAATTTTTCAGCGTTAGAGAAGGAATAATACAGCAACAGGAGGTACATGGATTTTAGGGTTGGATCACTGGCCCATGATTATGCATTTTTCAGACTGAGGACTTTTAGTATTTGTAGAGATGGCAAGATATTTGATTTTGCATATATCAAAGAGGCCCAGGACATGGTAGTGCTAATGCTTATGAAACTGCTAAGTCAATATCATGTATCTACTTTAAGATAACAGATTTTAAGAGAATATCCTGAGAAAAAATTTTAACCTATATGAAGGATTTAATACTAAATCTAATTTCTTTGTATTTCTTCTATTTCTCATATGCTTTTACCCCAAATATACATGAACTGCAGTCACACTTGGTTTCTATGAAGTCAATGAAGATTGACATTTAGAGCTTTTCTCAGATATGTATATTGTTTATTGGGCTTTGACTCTTGGATGGAATTTGAAAATAACATAATTTGTCTGTTGGTAAAAGGCCTTACTGTGAGGCATGTCAGCATGTATATATACAAAGCTGTGGTCTAATCCTCAAGTGATTTTTGAAAGAGGAGGGAACTAGAGAACAAAATAAAGTTTTCTGACCATTTAGTGGCAAATATAAATTACTACGTAGGCCAGTTAGATTTAAAAGGAATGTTTACATGGTTAATAACAAAGAACCATACAATTAGATCCAGAAATGTTTTAATCTACTAAGAAACACTACCCAATAGACACTGCAGTGACAAGCACATCCCACTTAACTAATCAGAGGTTTTCATACTTTAGTGTGCATCAAAATAACCTGGAGGGGCTTATTCAACACAGCTTACTGGGGCCCCGTCCCAGTTTCTGATTTGGTAGGTGTGGGGTGGGCCTGAGAATTTGCATTTTTAACAAGTTCCCTGGTGACGCTGAGGCTGCTGATCCACTGCTCTAATGGATCATCAATCTAGTTTCCCGCTGTCTAATTAGAGCCATAAGCAGTGTGCTGTTTTGGGGCATTTTCCATCTTAGTTAAGGAAGCATTAATGCTACAGAATATACGGTTTGATGAAACGAAGATGTGGAGGCATCATCAGCATATTGATGTAATTCTGATTCCAAATGTCTTCCAGTCTCCCCTGTGGCCTCACACACATGCTAAATAGGATGCTACTGACAAACTAGCACTTCGCAGCCAAGGGTCCTTAGGGAAACCAGCCAATCATTCAGCACTAGCCTCTAAGAAGATGAGGGAAAATCTGTTAATAATTCCCTCCAGAACTTTCTGCAAGCTTAAATAGGTGAGATTAAATTTCACAGGATAACAGAATCCCCCAAAATGCTGGTATTAAAAGCTGTTGACAGATCAGATAGAACTGCAGAAATGCTTTAGGCAGTTGGGAATCCCTAAAAGGAGGCATGAAGGTCAGGACTCAACAGACCCACTTGAGTTGATAAAGTTAATGGATAAGGTTGGGGAAGGACTTTGTAGTTCATATTAATTATTACTGAGAAGAATGCAGTACAAAATTATTTTAATAGCACAGTCCCACACACAGAGAATATACCAAGAAACATATTTGGTTTCCCAATAGCAGCAAAACACAATAGATCTTTGATTCCGTTTTAATTTTTGGCTGCACTGTTTTGTTGCTGTACGTGGGCTTTCTCTAGTCCTGGCAAGCTGGGCAGCCTCTCTTGTTGCGGTGCAGGGCCTTCCCATTGTGGTGGCTTCTCTTGTGAAGCATGGACTCTCAGGAGTGTGGGTTCAGTAGTTGTCATGCATGGGTTTAGTATCCTGCGGCATGTGGGATCTTTCTGGACCAGGGATTGAACTTGTGTCCCTTGCATTGGCATGCAGATTCTTTACCAGTGGTCCCCCAGTGAAGTCCTCTGTGATTTTTTAAAAATATTTTATATTATTTTTAATTGGAGTATAATTGCAGTATTGTGATGGTTTCTGCCATATATCAGTATGAATCATCCATAGGCATACATGTGCCCACTTGCTCTTAAACCTCCCTCCCACCTGCCTCCTCCTTCCACCCCTTTAGGTCG